TATATATATATATATATATATATATATATATATTTACGCAAGTAAAAGAGCCAGATATATAGATAGGAAAAGGAGTCATATATATATATATATATATATATATATATATATATATATATATATATAAAAGAGGGACAGAGACAGGGAAAGAGGGTGTGAAGATAGATAGATAGAAATACAGACGTCAATGTAAATTGTTATATATATATATATATATATATATATATATATAGATAGAGAGAGAGAGAGAGAGAGAGAGGATGGAGATAGATAGATAGATAGATAGATATATAGATAGATAGATAGATAGATAGATAGATAGATAGATAGAAATACAGACGTCAATATAAAATGTCTGAGATTAGAATAGACTAAATTTAATACGAGTCTTGCATAGATATGAATGAATACATTATTTGAAGTGAAATCTTTTATTTTTATTATTATTCTATGTGATTGTAGGTAATTAACAATGAAATTTTATCGCAAAACTCTCCACGATCTCTAATTATTTTTGCGAATCAGGAAGGAAGGAAGATGTTCACCTCAATGTACGCCTAGCAAATCAACGGCAGTAACTAAAGCTACGTATTTTGCTAATTACCCGACACTAAGAAAGAATAAATAAACTCTTGACGTAAATCTCCCCCACTCCAAAAAAACGAAGGAAAAATTAGAGCAAATATTGATTAATTTTAGCAAGTTTCGCTTGTTCTCTTTCGCAGGTGAGTGTGGCAAATAATATAACACCTGTCTAATCTCTTTGCCTCCATTTTCTGTCTAGTTCCATTTCGATGGCGTTTTTTTTCTGCGATCCTAAATAATCTTTTGTTCTTTTTTTCAAAATTTTATATGGCGCACCTAGTTAGGATCTAGCTCCCTATGCAGTAATAGCGGTCTATTAAACAGATATTTTTTTAACAATTAAAACTCGTTAAAACATTATTTGTGCAATTCGTTCACTCATTCGGTCGATGTAGAGTATCGGAGGATTTTTTTTTCTTTTTTTTTCACTTATTATGCTAAGTCATGACAAGATCACAGGCGAGTGAAAAACTGCTAATTAAAAAAAAAAAAGACAAAAAAAAAACATAAAAAAAAACGCAATAAATTACTCAGCACTTATTTCGATTAACTGCGTTACTTAAAACAATTTACTTAGGTAAATATAAAAAGTCATATATTCATAAACAGCTTTTATTTAAAAAAAAAAAAGACTTATAATTTATCGATAGATGGTTAGAAAAAGGCAGTGATGATTATTCGCAGCTCATTTGTTTATATAACGCAGTTACTATTATTTGCGTTCGTGGTAAAATGATGCACTAAAATAAGTAACTAAGCAATCGTTTTAAAGTCTCTGAATATCTGTGACTTAATTTTTTTGCAACCAAAAATAATGATTTTCTTTTTTATTTTTATTTTTTGCTATTACTAGGAAAGTACAGGGTGTTTCAAAAAATTTGTTATCATTTCGCTATCTAATAACTTTGTTAGATCTCCTTTAAATGACTTCAAATTTTAATAGCATCTTTATGTTTAATGTTTGTTTTATGTTTTTATGTCTTTATGTTTTTGTGTTTTTCTTATTTGTATTTTTATGTTCTTTAATCTTTAATCTTTTTCGTTGCAGGTACAAAAATGCCGTGTCTCAGGCGGTGCACATATTGAACATTTGTGAAATCGTTCACATAATCCACATGCTTTTGAATTTCTCATTCAGATTTGGAAGAATAAATCTTATGATCTTCAACATTAATACTTTTTAATTTCATTTGCCTTAATCATGTACTTTCTGTGATATTTACATCTCAAAGGATATCAAATTTTTTGAAACACCCTGTATATCTAGAAATATTTTTAGTAACATTTATAAGTTAATTAGGGGTCCATTTTGCTATGTAAATTCATTCCATATTGATCCCTCTGACAAAAAATGCTTTTACGACGTGATTAAAAAAATGTAAACAAATGTCTAAAATAGTTTTAAGTTTTATCTATAAGTCTTAATCTATATTTTATTTTATTTTCCATATATTACTGTCGATTAAATCTTTTTGCGAATTTATTTATTTTTATTTTTTTACAATTTCGGATATCAAGTCCTATCGGCATATTTTGCTCCAAGTAATGCGAATAACTTTCAGATCTGACATTAGATTTTACCCCCTCCGTTATTCGCTTAGCCAACGGGTATATGTAAAGGGTCCTGAGTTCTCAACCGAACGCAGACCTTACACTCTCGTCTGTGATGTAAGAGTGACTGCATATGTCCTGTGTAGAGCTGTTGGTTATATATCCTACTGTGCAACAGTTTTTTTTTCATGCATGCAGCCAGTCCCACTAGTATTCAGAACTTGGGGTCAAAACACAAAACGGCCCCAGTTGGGGACCATCACCACTGGCTGGATTCATCTTGGGTCGATTCTGCAACTAACCTCCTTTTGTGTAAAGCATGATGTGAAAATGTGTGCAAAATCTTTTTCCGGTATAATATCGC